TTGAAGTCTGAAGGAGCTTTCGAGACAACAGATGGAAAAGTTTACTTCACTGACCACAGTTCATTATAGAAACATCTCATTGACTTAGAGTCAAAATATTCTAAACTTTACAACAAACACAAAAAGTTGAAAGGAAAACAAAAAACAAATGGCATATGATATTTATGAAGATGTTGACGACACAACTGTTCCTGCAGGTAAAGTAAAGTCAGAGGAACCGAAAGTGACGAAAAACCGATAGAAGAAGAGAAACCAAAACTGAAAGATAAACCAAAACCAAAGTTTAGTTTCCAAACTAAACCAAGTCAACCTTCATTAGCTGGTATGGGTTGGCGTCAAAGACTTATGCAGCAGGCGGTTATGTAAAGTAAAGAAAAATATTTTTTTATTTTTATAAAATGCCCCCATATAGAATGGATAGAAAATCTGCTAGAATAAAAGCAGAGTTGCAAAGATATGGTTGGAGAGTTTCGAAGAAGTTTAAATATAAGAAAGGAAGACCCATAAAAGTCTATGACAAAACTGGCTGGTCTTCGCTACGAAATGGATTTGGAAACAGCACGTGCCAATTATCCAAACAGACTAGAGAGGTTAGAAGAAGAACGTCTTATGGACATGCCTTTCGATGTTAGTGAACCTCAAGTTGAAGGACACGACGGCTTTGCCAGATTCTACTGGAAACATGACGAACAATTGCATCCTTGAGAAGGAAAAAAGGAAAAGGTGAAGACGCACATGCTCCCATGGAAAGAACAAGATATGCATATGAAAAGTATCGTGAAGTTAGAAGTCAAATTACATCTGGTCGAACCTTTACAGTAAACTTTGACGAAGGAAAGAACAAAGAAGGCTTCATGGGTGTACTTGCTGCAATTCAAGACGGAAATAAGAAAGGACACAATCTCAGATTGACCATAACGGATTTGGATGGTCACATTTACTATGCAAATGGCAATGTCACAACAGCTGCAAAACTTCTTGACGCTTTCAAGACTACAAAGAGAGAACAAATGGTTGACTCCGACTCAGACATTTTGAATGCAATTGAAGGAATTGCAAGTGTCAAGTTCGAATGGTACCAACCTAACCCTCAAGCAGTCAGACAACATGCTGGATACTTCCCGTTCATAAATAAGTCTGACATTGACTTGACAAGGTATGGAATTTACAATTCAATTGAAACAATTGTCAACGAACCTTGCATTCTTACATGTCTCAGGAACTCTGGTCTTGTTACAGATGAGAAGATGAAGTATCTTGAGTCATGTGTGAAGACAAGGTACATTCTCAGAGGTCAATTGGCAAAAATTGCACCGTTGGCAAATGTCAATATCCGAGTCAACATACCTACAGCTAAAGGTTCTTCACATGACGACTATGTTGTTGAGTTCAATTTACCATGGTTGAAGATTGCAATTGTCCACAACCACTTCATGTTGAACGAAAGTCTTACAAACCCATTGTTCGGAAAGGCAAGTGCAACATTGTCAGAGCTGTAAACATTCTTTTCGAGAAAGGTTTGTTGGAACCAATTCCAGATGACAAGCTGACAGAAACTTTTGTACCAAAAGACGAAACAAACTTTTCACTGTTAGCAAGACCAAAAGTTGTTCCAGACAAAGTTCTAGTACAAAAGAAGTACACAATTCCAAAAGGAGTTGGATTGTTCGGATACCAACCTGAACCAGAAGAACTTCCAATGAGGTTGCAAGAACTTCAAGATGCTATAAAAAACTTCCATTGAGACATCCAATTGACGTCAAATTGTATTGGAGAGCATCTGAGTTAGGTCAGAAGGTTTTATATGAAACAGGTTGCTTCGACGATGTTTATGAGATAACAGGAGAAGTTTCTCAGAAGATAAGAGACTCACTTGAATTTCCACAAACTGGACCAATTGGTTGCGACAAGTTCGACTCAGATGAAAAGATATACTATGTCGACCTTAACGCTGCATACATGAGGTTTGTCCAATATATTCGACTGGAATTCCAAACGAAGATGGTGAGTTTCCGGGAAGGAACTATACAGTTGGAAAAGTCATACAACAACTGTATGATATTAGGAAAGCTTCAAACCCCAAACTTGCAATGACACTCAAATTGCTTATGAATTCGACATGGGGATATTCCATTAAGAAACCTCAGAGATGAAGAGTAAACATTATGAGAAGGTCGACAACTTTGTTGAAAGGTTTTCTCCTTTTGTTTTGAAGTACGAATTCACTCAAGGTCAAAGTGGCTTAGTAACCACATTAAAACCTATTGTCGAACATTGGTCTTACCCTCAGTTCGCAAAGGCAGTCCTTGACAACTACAACAAATTCTTCTCCGAAGTCAAATCCAAAGTGAAGGTTTACTATGAGAACATTGACGCACTCATGACGAACGAAGAAGGATACAACAAACTCATTGAAATGGGAATGGTCGGTGAAAAGATGGGCTGTTTTAAGCTAGATAAGGTATTTTCTGAAGTTCATGTAATATCGAAAAGGAAATATTGGGGCATACTTGAAGACGGCACAGAAATAAAACATTGCATGAAGTAAAAAATTTATTTTTAAAAAAGTGACATTTTTTAATTTTATTTGAAATGTACGCTGAGTTTGTTAGTGAACCTCAAGTTGAAGGAAACTTGTTTGTTAGATGAGAAATATGAAATGGCATACCATTTTAAAACAATATATTTTTACATATATTAAATGCTTCAGGTTGAAAAACAAAGAACAAAAGTAGCAGATACAAAACCGTTAGACTATATCTTTACAAATGCTGGTAGGACTATTTCAGATGAAGAAATTTCATCCCGAGCATACAGTTTTGACTATCCAATTCGTTGGCTTCAAAGTCCTTCAGATGCAAAGGCAATAGGATTTAGAAGAGTTTTGTTTTCAAATAGAACTAACGCATTTATGTTCGCAGTATATTTTCATGGGCAGTATAAAGGTTCTGGTGGTCTAATAGACAAATTTGACGAAATGAGGATCTTTACAGTTCGTTCAGACGAAGTCTTGAGAAAACTCTAAATGACTTTCAAACTCAAATGAACAAATATTATTGGGAATTTCAAGAAAAATACGACTCTTTACTAAATGGAACATACTATCTGAAACTAGAATATGACAAGATGAACTCCACCGTTTCATTTCAAAAGATTGAAATTAACCCTCCAAGAGATACAGAGTTTTTATATTGGAAAGTAGACAAACGTTCTTGGGCACAATTTCTTCGGTTACTAAACCAGAACGAACCATTACCACCAGATGGTCCATTTAAATTTATACTTCCACCAGCAGATTTGACAGTTTATAGAAACGTGTTTGACCCTCAAAATGTTATGTGTCATGCAAGTTTCAGTTCAAGCAACAATAGTTTTCTATGTATTGGTAAGGACTTTTATGACTTTGCTTCTAAATTCTACGAACCACCTAGTAACAGTTTCTCTGACTTTCAAGTTTGGTTCACAACAAATGGTGTGCAACATATTATTCCATTGTACTATGACTTTTATCTCGAATTGTCTTTCATATATAACTACGGAAAAGTGCTGAAAAAGTATTGAATGTGAAGATATTAGAAAATAACATTTTTTTCTAACATCGTAGAAAACTCATGAATTTGTCAAGACTTCATCGTACATGCTTTGTCAAGACTTCTTCGTAAATGTTTTGTCAAACATGAACGTAAATGTTTTGTCAAGACTTCTTCGTAAATGTTTTGTCAAGACTTCTTCGTAATGAGTGTAAAGGACCCAAAAATAAAGTTTAGGTGAAGAGGTGCGATCTCACCTCCTTTTTCACCTTTTTTTTCACTTCATGAATTTTCATGAATTTTCCCGAAATAAAAAATAAAGTTAGTTTTATTTTTTTTTATTTTTTTATTTTGTATGTAAGAACAGAAATGTCAACAATCGGCACAACAACAATTCAAACAACAGCACCAAACTCTTTAGTCATGAATCCTACGTCAATGTTAGTAGAAATGAAAAGCTTCATTCCTTCTTCATATACTTTCGAAACAAAAATCCAGAAGATAAAGCAAGAACTTTTAACATGTAATTTAGACTGTAGTGCGAAAGATGAAACAAATGAACAGTATCTTTATGAAATGCAGGACATTATTGACCATTTGCCTAAACTACCTGAAATTCAGCAGCAAAAGCTCACTATTCCTGAATTCGATGAAATAGAAGTGAAACCAACTGACTCAGTAGAAATAAAGAAGTTCATACGAAAGGTAAACTATGAGTTTCTAGGATTTCATTGCAACCATAAGGTTATGGACAAAGATTGCGATATGGTATATAAGAACATCTCTGACATATATAAATCTGAAGAATTTAAGACCTACGACAACTTTGTTTCGTTAGTTGCTGAATGTGTATGGCAGATAAGAGATAAAGATAGAAGAGGTAAGGTATGGAATGAACAGATAAAACCAGCAACTTTTGAGTTAAAGAAAACCATTGACGCCTTGGTTGTTTTAGCAGGTAAGGTTTCAGAATATAACGCAAAAATGAACCCGCAATGTTCTAAATGTAAAGCAGCAATGAGGAGATATAACTACTCCGTCAAAGAGATAGAACGTATGAGAAACGACTATGCAGACTTAAAGAAAGAAGCAGAGAAACCAGCAGAAGATAAAATGAACATGTTAGAATTTCTGAACAAAAACTATCCAACTGCTGACGATTTCCTTCTATCTGACGTCAAGAAGAAGTATAAAGAAACTTTCGGCATAGTTAAAACATTCGATATCCTCAGCGAAGAAATAGAAGCTACGAAATTGTTTAGGATTTCAAATATACATCGTACAATTCATGTAAAACGCTTGTAAATAGTTATGTGAAAAATTAGGTGAAAAAACAGGTGAGATCGCACCACTTCACCTAAAATATATTTTTACTGAAAAATGACCAAATTTCATGAATTTCCTTAAGACAGAAAAAATAAAGTTAGTTTTATTTTTATTTATTTTTTTATTTTGTATGTAAGAACAGAAATGTCAGTCGAAGCAAAAACGTTCACGAACAAATCTAATGGCGAAACATTCACAAAAGGTACTTATAACGGTATTGAAGTCTTACGTAGAGACAAGGATAGTTACATTAATGCAACAAATATGTGTCAGCAGTTTAGGAAAGACTTTAGAAAGTTGTTGGAAAATAAGTCCTGGGAAGAGTATTATAAGGCATTTTGTGAAGAATATAGCAACCGCCGGAATTCAGACGGTTGCTTTTTATACAAAATTCATGCCGGAATTCCTGATGAAATCAAACAGGTTAGAGGAACGTATGTAGACCCAAGACTTATAAACTATATAGCAATGTGGGCTTCTCCAAAATATTGCATAGCAGTTGGAAAAATTATGGACTCCATAGACAAGAAAGTTCATGAGAAATTAGATGAAGAAGAACTCGAAGATACAGTGGAGAATGCTAAACCTTTGTTCGAAGAAGAAGTTGGAAAAATGTGTGAAAAACAATTAGAACATGAACGTGAGATATATTATGGTTATAGAGATTCTCCATACGAACTAGACCAATGGGAACAAGAAGATTTAAGAGAGAATTTAGAGAATATGAACTCGCTAAGATAGCATTTGAAGCTGCAGAAAAGAAGTTAAAGTTTGGGTCGTTTTGTAAAAAAATATTGTGAGTAAATGAACCATTTATTTTTATTGAATTCAGTAAAAATATAATTTATGTTAGAATGTTAGATCTAACACGTTTTCTAACACGTTTTCTAACCTCATGAATTTTCGTGAATTTCCTTAAGATAGAAAAAAATAAAGTTAGTTTTTTGTAAAATATTTTTTTTTATTTTGTATGTAAAGACATATATGACAAACATTGAGTTTGAAACAGTTAAAAAGATAGACAATGACACCAAAGTGGTTAGAATAGGTGATTTAAACGTAAGATACTCAAAGAAATACAACAAATATTCTTGTCAGACATTCTAACACCATCTGGAAAGAAAACATGGCATTGGGTTTGGAATTGCTTCAACTCAGAAAATTTTGACAAGAAATCCTGAGCTTATGATATCGGTAAGATTCTATGGAACTACAGCATATCTTATAGACAAAAGTCTTATACCAATAGTTTTGTTATGGATTGACCCAGTTGTTGGATATAACTTCATAACATATGGTTCATTCGATACGGAACGTTGCAGTGAAGGCTTACTTTACATCGTTCAGAAACCGAAGGACTTCAATACAAGAGATATAAGATAGGAAGAACATATAATATAACTCAAAGATATGACAGTACAGTCAATAGAGTCAAGGTTGTGTTCGTTAACGATATGAGAGCTGCTGAAACAGAACTACTCGAAAAGTTTGAGAAAATGTATGGTGCTCCCACGAAAGGTAAAGAAACGTTTGAAGTAGATGAGATAGATAAAGCTATAAAATTATTTGACGAAGTTGCTGAAAAATACATGTAAAAATAACGTTTACCATGTAAAACGCTTGTGAAAAAAACAGGTTAGAAAACAGGTTAGATCTAACCTTCTACCCTAAAATATATTTTTGCTGAATTCAGCACAAAAATCTGAGTAAAATGGCATAAGATTGCTTTCCTCGGAAAAACCGAGAGAAGAGATTCCGTATGAAAACAGTGAAATTTCTCTAGACCGACTTCCTTCGGTCTTGCATAAAACTCATGAAAATCGTGAAAAATTGCGACCCAGACTTTTTTCGGGGTCGCCAAAACTCTATGAAAATCATGAAGAACAGCGAGTACGTAAGAAAACGTAGTCGCCAAAACTCTATGAAAACAGTGAATTTCCTTAAGATAGAAAAAATAAAGTTAGTTTTATTTTTATTTATTTTTTTATTTTGTATGTAAAGACAGATATGTCAACAACAGAGAACACAACAACTGCTATCGTTCATGAAGCTATAAATGAAGAATACAAGTACATACAGTTTAACAAACAGTTACGTCTCATTCGTTCGGTCAAAGACGATATGTACCAAATGCAAAGTATTTTGACAGCATGTTTTGCACCAGATACTAAGCTTCCTAAAGACTGGTTTAGGAACCAAAGCACCATTGAACTCTTAAGCGAAGCACAGCGAGACATACTTTTTTCTGAAAACAGTGAAGAACAGCGAGTAGGTAAAAAAACCCCAGTCGCCAAAACTCTATGAAAACAGTGAAGAACAGCGAGTAGGTAAAAAACCCCAGTCGCCAAAACTCTATGAAAACAGTGAAGAACAGCGAGTAGGTAAAAAACCCCAGTCGCCAAAACTCTATGAAAATCGTGAAAAATTGCCAAACGGTTTGAGAGGATATTATGTACATAGACTTCTTGTAAATGCTGTTGCAATGTGGGCTTCGCCTCGTTATGCTTGGAATATATACAGACTTCTTGACGAAATTCATAGACAAGAACGTGAAGAGCTAGAGAACAAGCTTGAAGCAAAAGACAAAAGCATTCAGAAAAGAATACCACGTTCGGTACCAAAAGGAAAGGAAAAGAACTATAAGTATATGATTTATACTGAAGAGATGGAAAATGAAGAAGATAAAGATATGGTTATGTTGCATTTAGTCAGAAGAAACAACAAAAGCTTTTACGACCTTGCTAAGATTTACAAATCTGACAGAAATTGGTTCTATCGCGAAAACTTACCGATTTCAATGACCCCAAATGAAGATGTGAAACAAATAGTTCAAGATACGTTACCTCAAACACACTATGATATTAAAGGTTGTACAATACTTACTTCAAAGAAGATTTGCCATTGTTAAAGGAAAAAATAACAGAGTATTTTGACAACTTCAAACAAGTAGAGTAGATGAACCATTTATTTTTCAAGCTTGACTTCAGATGGCTCAGGTAGCTCTATAAAGTAAATTGCCTCGTCAAATCCTTCTGGCATTCCGAGTCCTTCCATCCGACAGAAAAAGTTTTTCCTTCCGACAGGAAAAATATTTTCCCGACAACTGGAAAAAATTTCCTTCCGACAGGAAAAATTTTTCCCGACGACAAGAAAAAATTTTCCAGTTGTCCGTCCGTAAACCATTCAAATTTTCGAAAATGGAGAACTTTTTGGTCGAACTTCAGGAAAAGTTTTTCCTTCCAACAGAAAAAATTTTTCCTTCCGACAGGAAAAGTTTTTCCCGACAACTGGAAAAGTTCTTCCTTCCGACAGGACACAAACGAATGTCTCACGTCCCTCTTCCTGAATGCCTTCCAAAGCCAGAAGAACCGACAGCCCCAGCACCACAACAGACTTACTAAGACTAAACACTTACATTTTTCAAGCTTGACTTTTTACAATTTGAACTTTGTTTGCGTAGATATGAATTCTGAAAGAAGTATGAGGGTCTTGTATGACTTTGTACTTCTCCCATAGTTCATGTCTGTCAAACTTACCTGCCATGGACTCTTTCATAAGTTCCATGAAATCGTCTTCGGACAATCCGGGGAAAAGTACAATGTCAGTAAGTATTCTTTTAACATCCTTACTTAAACTCTTTGCTGTCTGTACACATATTACGACTGAAATGTTAAAGTGTCTGAGCTTCTTAAGAATTCGACACATATCTTGTTCTCTATTCTTTAACAAAGGATGAGAGGCGAAATCATCTAAGATAAGAAGACATCTATGAGGGTAAGTCTTCCAATCGTAAGATTGCAATTTCTTCGAAATGTATTCTATCTCTTTCTGTTTGTTTCTGAAGTGTTTCTTCTCTAATATTCTCTGCATTTCCTCATTAGGGTCTTTAAACTTAGAATTTATATACTCATTTATAGCATTATACTTCAAAACTCTTCTTTGGTACTTCTTTATCCAATCTAACAACTCAGAGTCTTTTATACATACTAACTTAGACTTCTTTATAATATCTTTGAACGAATTGACGGTTTGGTCAAATTGACCAGAAGTACTACAAATGACAACTAACTCATAGAATGGGTTCTTCTCATCTAGTTCTTGTTGTTGTGCAGCCATTTTAAGATAAGTGAAAGTCTTACCCGACCCAGGTGGTGCGATTAGACCTGTTATACCATTCTGAGCAAATAAGAACTGTGTCATGTATAGGTTTTATCTGAGCATTTTCTAACTTCCTCTTGTTCTTGTTTAAAACATTCTCAAATTTTTTGTCAATGTCAGCAAACTTTTTTTCTAACATATTTTTAGAAAAATTAAAATTTTTATCTTTTAGAAAATGTCTAGCGATTTCGCTATCTATATTCGAGACAAGCTTTTTGACAGCAAAACATCTGTCGACCATAAAATCTTACATAGTGTAAACAAGAAAGGTGAATTTGTTCTAAAGTTCTGTTTCTGGGAATATGACAAGAACCATAAAACATTACAAAGAGCAGTCTTAAAATTTGTCAATGACAGACTTGTTGACAGAGATGACACCGATTGGAAAGATGAAGTCCAACAAAAGTTCTTAGAATGCAAAGAAGACACATGCGCTGTTCTTGAAGATGAAATAGAAAACAGAAATAGATCTATTAAAGGACAAAGAACTTTTACATAAATATGGTTCGGAGAAATTTGACATAACTCCACCAGAAAAGAAGAAGAAAGAAAAGAAAGAAAAGAAAGTAGAAGAAGAGAAGAAAGAACCTGAAACCAGTTCCAGAGAAAAAGAAATTTGACATGTAAAATAAAATTTTATTTTTAGAACATTTCTGGGTCAATGTCAATGTTCTCTTCCTCTTTAGGAGCAAACACTGGCTTAGACTCTAAAATCTTTTTACCCAATTTACCTTGAACTTCAACTATCTTAGACTCATAAATATTCAGTCGTCTGCTTTCTTTGGTTCATAAGGTATAACAAGTTTGTATGCTTTGCCTTCTTTAAGGTTTGAGAACCTTCTGTCAAAACTTTCTTTGACTGCTAACAAACCTTCTATCTCTAAGTCTTCAAATTTCGCACCATTTTTAGTCACAATAGCAAACTTAACTGGTTCGATGTTCCAAACTTTGCTGAATGAAAGACTTTTCAAAATGGTAGAAGTAAACATTCAAATATGTGAATGGGTCTAGTTCTTCTTTAAGTCCTGACATGTACTTATTTACTGAATATATTTCGTCATCTTTTCTATCGGATAAAAAAATATTTTTTTTAAAAATTTACTCAGAAAAATTATTTCTTTGTATATACACATTCTGACATCTAAAAGACTTTTGACATTTGCCAAGAATGTTCGTTTAGAAGCTGTCATAATAACCATATTCTTGACATAATTGTTTATACGAATCGTACAATGACCTTTCATCTAACACTCAAAGTCAGTTTCATCTATGAACAGTTCATATACACTCTTGTTTGCTTCTAACAATGTTTGTCTCTCTTCGGTATGTGGAATTTGTCTTGGATTGAACTTTGAAATATCTAATGTCATAAAATATGAGAACAAGTGGTTGTAAAAGTCAGATGTCAAAGTTTCTGCTAAGTCGTCAAAATATTCTGTATCTTGCATATGAGAATCTGACGTTCTGACAACT